GAGAGAGAGAGAGAGAGAGAGAGAGAGAGAGAGAGAGAGAGAGAGAGTCTTGGCAGCATCTAAATTTGATAAATAAAACTAAATATACACATACACACATAAATATCTATATACTTATGAATAAATTTCTTTAATAAGTTACATTATAGTAACAATTAAACAGGGCTTCCAAACTTGAAAACAAATCAGAAGCTACAAAGTATCTACCTTATCAGAAATTAATAAAGATTAATAAATTAATAAAGTTTCCATGGAATGAACCACTTCCGTGGGCAGGACTTAATTGGGTTATTTCCCCCCCCCCCATGGAATAGGCACCAATCCCATTTCTATTAAGTGTCCATATAGTGCTTAATGTTGATGTATTTCTTGCCTACCTTTCAGAATTTTAACTATCACAGAATGAATCACAATTAAAATTTGTGCACATAAATTTGATAAATGAATAAATAAAATTATTGGGTCATTTTAGCATTTATCCATTAAACAGGATCCACTCAAAAGAACAATTAAAAACTCATCAGAAAATGAATTTTTCTTGGTAGAATCATCATGGCTGCATAGCTACTTTGCCTTGACATATTATGTGTAAAAATCAGTAATAGAAACTAGAGGTATCTTTCAGGAACATATTCAACACCCCATCACCACTGACAGGCTACAGATATAACAATAATTCTTAATAATACTTCCCACATGGGAATTCTGGAATACGCAAAATGTGCAGTCTTTGGTACATTTAATTGAAAGTATGTTGAACTGAATTCAGTGAGTTGGATCCAAACACAGACCTATATAGAGAAGACTTGTTTTAATCTGGAGACTAAATCTATCAGTCGCTTCAGCTTGGATCTTATGCTATTAAGACCTTTTCTAGCTAACTGTATTTAGACCCAGGACATCATTTCCAAGACTATTCAGAGAAAAATGATAGGCTAATATGGGATTCCTTTTTAATTAGGATATAAGGGCAACCCTCCATCATCTTGGGCTTTAATGTATACTGGTGGTGAAGGCTCCTTTTTCGCCAGGCTCACTATTGAATGAAAAGACCTATCTTTCTCTCTCGATTTTTCTTTCACCAACTAAATCAATACTTCCACACAAGGAGCATCCATCAGGATCCTAGAAGGCAAAGTGCGCCCTTGCCCCGCTTAGGAGCCTTTGATAACAGCAGAAGGGGTGTTGCCTTCATCATCTGACAGGCATGACAAGTCCCCCGCGCGCTCTCCCTCCTGCCCACAAATGAAAAAGCTCCGCGCACCCCGGTGCAGGGGCGAAAAGCCCGTAGGAGCCACCGGCCGCCTGCAAAGATGATGCACTGGAATGAGGAAGTGGAGTGGCGAGGGGAGGGACTGAGAGCGGAGCTGCCTCCTGTCGCTCTGCTTGGCCGTGGAGCCGCAGCACATGGAAGCGGAGAGAGCTGGGCGAGTTCTTTGCATCCAGCTCCGGCCAGAGCAGGTACTGTATCTTCGCGCCGGAACGCGCCCATCTAAATTGGTCCTGTCTTATTCTACTCTTCGGACAGATAGCGGTTTTCTTTCTTTCTTTCTTTCTTTCTTTCTTTCTTTCTTTCTTTCTTTCTTTCTTTCTTTCTTTCTTTCTTTCTTTCTTTCTTTCTTTTCTTTTTCTTTCTTTCTCTTCTTTTTCTTTCTTTCTTCCTTCCTTCGCTCCTTCTTTCCTTTCTTTTTCTTTCGGAGCTGTTTACTCTATGGCTGCAAACTTTTTTGGGAAGGGAGTAAAAAGCAGAAGTTTTATTAAGTAGTGAGAAGCAGACGGAGAGGAGTGAAATGGGTGCGCTTTGAACAAGTGCTAGATCTCTCTCTCTCTCACACACACACACACAATGAACAAATATCGCGCCGAATTCTCTATTCGGATGAGGGAAAACTTTTTTAGCGCCAGTCTGGCTTTAAACCTGAGAAGATAGTTGTTTGTTTCTTGGGCCGAGTTTACTTCTTTTTCTTTTCCCATTACAAATTGACCCGTTAGTTGTAATCTGTGAAAAGGAGATTATGAAGTTTTGCTCTTGCTCCCAAAACCTGAATTTCTGAAAAAGATAAGCAAAGGGATTCCTGTATACTTGCATTTTAAACTCTAAGGGAAAATGATAAGAAATTCAAAATAAATTCGAGGCTGAAGGGCTGAGTGGAGGATTATGAAAAACATTAAGCTGTAAAAAATAAAAGCTATTTTCAGAAATATTTTCTGTCATTAATTGGGGCAATTTCTCCCTCTTTTTAAGCTGTTGCATCACCCAAATACAAGAAGATGAACATTTTTTCTGAACTTTACAATTATATTCTCTCCCACTCTCCCAAAAAACAAAACATGAGGTAAAAAATCAAGAATTCTTAAGATACCCAATATTAAATAAACAAGTTAAACCCTAAGTTTCCACAAAATGCCCATTCCAACACTTTGGAGTCAAACCAACAGAGTCCTGAGTTGCAGGCATGCACTTCCAGTGTTAGCTATAAATAATCTGTTAAGGTTTATTCCAGAAGAAAATTAAATTTAAGGGCTCTTCAAACTTATGTATTAAAGACTGACATCAAATGAATTTTGTCACAGTACTGCAACACATAGAAAACATAACCAAATACTGGTAGCATGTTTATAAATTCATTTTACTGAAAACATTTTGTCTCCCTTTTCTACTAATGCTGCCTATTAACTAGTAAATTTGTTTAAACAAACAGGTTTGGAAAGTTATATGCTGTATAGTGAGGACTGAAATGTAGCATTTTATGCTCTAATCAGCAACTTTAGTTATTGAAAGAAGGGGAGATTTCAGTTTTCCAATTAGGAATATATTTGCCCCAATAAATAATTTTTCATTTTTATAGATTCTCTATACTTTATAAGGCAGCCATAAGTATGAAATTAGCATTTCTAAAACAGTATTAATTACTGAAGCAAAAAATAAAATTGATTCAGGATATAACTATTAAATCTGCTTTTTAAAAATAGAATTATTGTACAAAGAAAGTTTACTTTCTATGGGTAATGCCATGCAGCTCTATCAATCTTTCCTGTTATGTTTATATATAAAAACAATGAAAAAGTGAGGAATCCACATTTTTACTGGGAGAGATTGAAATAGAACTGTTGTTAAATGTTTCTAATAATCTTCCCCTACCACCTTCCCGTTTATAAAGCTGTATCTCTGGATCTATGAGCAGGAAACATTTAATTTGTACTGTTTAATCCATTCTTAATATATACTGAGTGCTAAAATTAAACTTCGGGCAAGAGAATAAAGCAATCTTGTACACTCTTCTTTCACAGAACATCTACTAAATCCAGTCTGACTTATGAATCAAGAAAAATGGCATTAAATTGAAATGCATAGTTAAGTTGCAGAAACAATTGCACACACTTAAATTTGACATTTAATAGGAAGTTTTAAAAAACAGGATTGTCTGCATGCCCAGATTTTTTTTAACGAAAGTCCTGTTCAAGAGGAGCTGAATTAATAGTCCTTACCTTTCGCTTGAATTCAGCTGGCATAAAATATTGCTGGAGGCGATTGTGATTTATTCCAGATAAGAATAGGTATGAAATGACAGTAACCATAATAATAATCCAACAGCACCAGAGAATGAGTTCAAGAAAGAAATCACATCCATTTTCAGTGAGGTCTTTGAGACTCTGCATTATACAAGTTCTCAGCTATTTATGCACTGAATTCTATTTGGGCTCCCTGATTTAACTTGATTTTCTCAAATATTCTTGCCAGACAAATGTGTTCAATTATTATTATAGTAATTGAATGGAAAATATACTTACAAAATGCTTGGTTTAAAGGATTAAAGTTGTAGTAAGTAGTGCTTTAGTAGTAGTGATGCATAACTTCACAGCTTTTTCATCTTTTTAAGATCGGGCACCTGCTCAGAAAAATGAAAACCATTTATTTTACATCAAAGTCTATATAAAGGTTTATTATAAGTGCACTAGATCTAAAGTAGTTTTTAGAAACAAAGCACTGAACTGCATCCCTTAAAAATGCATGAATGTTCATGTAAAAATACTGATATTTGTGAGAAGTGTTTGTTCTGTACCCCATCTCTGCAAAGGTTTTCCTTTATATCTGCATAGATTCAAAATAAATTTTCTTTTCACACAAATAATCCACAGTAGCAATGAAGGGAAGATTTGGGAATCTTGATAAATATCTTCTATAAGCATATTTTGAAAAGTTTTTTTTTTCTAACTGCACCACTAACTCCAAATGTTTTACACTGAAAATATATTATTAATTTGTACCACAAACTTACAATTTTATTTTTTTAACAGAAAACTAAATTATAAATTAAACAAAACATTCAATCTTAACATTTTAAGATTTAATCAGCATTCTTAGAATTGTAATTTAGTTGCAATATGGGAGTCAGGCTTACATTTCTTCTTGGAAATGTAGCATGCAAATTAATATAGCTTGAGCAGATAGAATTGAATGTAACACAATAGCATATTTAGTGATTGAAATGTATAAATAGATTCAGGACATTTTCCTCTTATTGTGAATTCAAGTATCAGTGTCCCAAACTTTTTCAGATTGGTTGAATGCTGACACACCAAGATAGTTGATCTTTCATACGTAGAGTTAGATCTTTTTAAGACTGTCAAATATATTTGGTTCATTAACATCTCTTTTTAAACAAGCTAGTGCATCAAATAAATCTGCACACTATAAGGCACGCCACTGTAAAACAGACCTATGAAAATATAAAATTTCATTCATTAAAACAAGCTAATTCATTCATTGCTTAAAAATAAAAGTATATTTAATTTATGTTATCAGAAAAAACATGTTCAATATGTTTAATATCAATATTTAATTCATATTAAAGTACAATACCCCATTACAATTTAATGTGCTAAATTAAATACATTAAGAATCCAATACTAACAGATTATTTATAAATATATATAATGGGAAGACCTACTGAAACATATAAACTCTATTCTCTGCAGTGCAGGTATATTTATAAGAAGATATTAGAAAGTTTTCTGTAATTTAGCTATCTCTTTTCAGAGAATAAATCTATTTTTGAAGAGCCAGTGTGAAAATTTATTGAGTCAAGTTCTGAATTTTAACTTCTGAAGGTGAAGAGAACAAAACAAGCATTAAAATTCAAAAGGATGATCACTTAGAGAAGTTAGTTGTTTTTAATGTCAGTATGAACTTTTCAAACAAGAAAAAAGGTTTCAGTGTGGCTTTTTGATTAAGAGTACAACAAAACAGTCTGGCAAAAATATATTGAACCTGAATCATATAACACATTATTAGACTCTGATTTTGATTGAGGAGTGCTGTAGTATTTCAGTATGTTCCTGATGTGCTGTTTCTGGATCCAGAAGTAACTTACCAACTCCATTGTTTTTTGCTTTTGGTTAAAAATGAATCATTTTCATTATGTAGGTACAACAAGCATTGTATTCAAACGTTCTGAAAGTTATGGTGATAGGAAAGTCAAAGACAAAAGTAAATTGTTCAAAGGTAGTTTGGCACTATTTCATCAATCATAAAAGATACCAGCCCTTTAATGAATTATTGTGGTCCAGTATAAACACATGTTGGGATATGTGGCATAGTTTCCTCAATTATTACTGGTTTCTTAATTTGAAGGATTACTTGAATTTGCTTCATAACCTAATGTTATTAATTGGGGATAAAACTGATTTTTTATAATGTAAAAGATAGGAAAGTAAATTGTTCTCACATTACTTGCAGAAATACAAGCTGCTGATTCTAGCTTTCTGGGATTTTCTTTATTATGTGTGTGTGTGTATAGATAGATAGATGATAGATAGATAGATAGATAGATAGATAGATAGATAGATAGATAGATAGATAGATAGATAGATGATAGATAGATAGATATAGATATAGATATAGATATAAATATATAGATATATAAATATATATCTATATATATATATACATATATATATATGTATGTATATAAAATTGTTATATCTATATAAACTACAATTGTTCAAATATTTTAGGTTTATATCATTACTAAATGTTTAATTATGTTAAGGGAGAATGCCTATTTTGGGTCATACATACAAGTTGAAGAACCTGGGTAAAGTCCATTTAATCCAGGAATCTTTTACCCATCTTTGGAGATGCTCTGAGGTGCAGAAAAAGTGCCTATAGTTGAGTGTGTTCACTCTGAAAATAGAGATTGCTGCACAAATTTGCATCTTTGAGGCAAGATTTGAATCTGAATTTTGTTAAACCTAAATAACCAGTACTTGTCAATTTTACATTATTTACTCTAGATAGAATCATGGTTCTTTACATCCCCCAAAGTCAATATATACACATTCATTTTCTGCCTTAAAATATTCATATATCATGGTTTATACTAATAATTATAAATATAAACAAATAAATGAAACAAGAACAATTAAATGAAAATTTTAGTTTATAATCTCATCACACT